GATGAATAGTTTGTGTGATTTAACTTATTCCATCCTTTAACTTTCCACTAGCCTATATTTGTATATTTGAAATGAGTTTCTTTTAGATAGTGTATAGTTGGGTTATGTTTTTTAATCCACTCTACCAGCCTCTTTTATTTTTTTTAATATTTTATTTATTTGTTTATTTGACAGAGAGAGAAAGCACAAGTAGGCAGAGCAAGAGGAAGAGGGAGGAGCAGGCTCTCTACTGAACAGAGAGCCCGATGTGGGACTTGATCCCAGGATTCTGGGATCATGACCTGAGCCAAAGGCAGACGTTTAACCAACTGAGCCACCCAGGTGCCCCATCTGCCAGCCTCTTTTAATTGGTGTATTAAAGCCCTTTGTATTTTGGGGGACCTGGGTGGCTCGGATGGTTGGGCGTCTGCCTTCAGCTCAGGTCATGATCTCCTGGTCCTGGGATTGAGTCCCACATCGGGGCTCTCTGCTCAGTGGGGAGTCTGCTTCTCCCTCTCTCTCTGCCTCTCCCCTTGCTTGTGCTCTCTCTCTCTCTCTCAAATAAATAAATAAAATCTTAAAAAAAACCCAGACCTTTATGTTTCATGTTATTATTGAAATGTTAAGATTAGGGGCACCTGAGTGGCTCAGTCATTAAGCGTCTGCCTTCGGCTCAGGTTATGGTCCCAGGGTCCTGGGATCGAGCCCTGCATCGGGCTCCCTGCTCGGCGGGAGGCCTGCTTCTCCCTCTCCCACTTCCCCTGCTTGTGTTCCCTCTCTCGCTGTCTCTCTCAGTGTCAAATAAATAAAATCTTAAAAAAAAAAAGAAAGAAATGTTAAGATTATGCCTGCCATTTTATTTTTTGTTTTCTATCATCTCTATTTTTGTGTTTGTTTTATTTTTCTTGCCTTCCTATGGGCTACTTGAACTTTTTATAGAATTCCACTTTTATGTACCTATGGTGGGTTTTTTATTTTATTTTTTAATCTATAGTGTTTTTTAGTGTACCTCTTTGTATAGCATATACATATATATATATATGTGTGTACACACACACACACACAATATCACTGTCTGCTGCTGTCATCATTGTAACAAGTTTTCTGTCTTGCCAGATGGCCTCTTTGTAGTCCTTTGGCTAGAGAAAACAGGCCTTTGTTGGGCTCTTTTTGTCTGTACCCATTGGCATTTCTGGGTTTCCGGCTTCTTTAGCTCCAAGTCTAGGATATATGAGGCAAAAAGAACTCACTGCCATGTTATTCTTCATGCCCCCAGGTCCCTAGCCAGGCTTTTTTCTCTCTACCTTTCACAGTCTTCTTTTTTTTTTTTTATTTTCTGAATTTTTTTTTTTTTGCTTTATGTGGAAAATAGGCATAAATCTCATTTTATGCTTTTTTTTTAATTTTATTTTTAAGCAATCTCCACACCCAACATGGAGCTCAAATTTACAACCCCAAGATCAAGAGTTGCATACTCCAACGACTGAGCCAGCTAGGCACCCGTATGCTATTATTTTATATCTTAAATGTGTTTGAAAACATTTTGATTTTTGGAAACATCAGACTTTCAAAGTCTTTCTGTGTTTGTCTTATGTAACGTCTAGGGGTTTTAGTTGTACTTAGTGGCAGAGATAGGAAAAAGTAGATCTACTCCCATCTTCCTAGAAGTGGAAATCCCTCCCAGTTTTATTTTTGATCTAACGTAGAGTTAAGGTAAATTTTCTTTTTCTTTACTGTTCTGAGTATACCTCTGACTCTGACCCAGCCCACTGGATCCAGCCCTGGAATTTACCCCAGAGGAAGTTGGCTCATAGCTAGACTGTTACAGAGTTTCAGGCCAGTGCCTTTATTCTGTATACACATCTTTCTTTCCTGTGTCTTTCACTTACTCTCCTTTGTTTGCATTGTTTCAGAGAGAGAGCTGCTGCTACTAGAGTCCTCTGAGCCACAAGATGGCGCCCCAGAGCAGTTCAAGCTAATCTTTTCCTGTTCTTCTCTGGGGCCCCATTTTTAACTTAATATTAGGAAACTCAAGGCCGTTTATCTAAACCAGCATATAGCTCTGAAGACCCAATTGTGTTTTTCTTTAAGTCATGTCTTCCCAGTTGCATGAAAATTTAAGCCATCAGTATCAAAAAGTGTTTTTGTTTGAATTTTTTTTTTGTATCTTTAACTTGTTGGCAGCTCATATGGAAAATTTAAAAGTAATTGTTATTCCTCTTAATGAATTGAGTTGACATTTGTAATTGGGTTCACTGAAAATAATCTGTAATCTCAGCATAGCTTTAGGAAAGGAATGTTATAGGGGTGCCTGGGTGGCTCAGTTGGCTAAACAGTTAAGCGTCTGACTTCCTCTCGGGTCATGATCTCAGGGTCCTGGGATCCAGCCCTGCGTGGAGCCCTGCATTGGGCTCTGTGCTCTGCGGGAGTCTGCTTGTCCTTTTCCATCTCTCCCCATGTCCCTCCCCCTCCCCCTGCTCATGCTTTCCCTCTCTCAAATAAATAAATAAAATCTTAAAAAGAAAAGAATGTTATAAGTGCATTCTGAAGGAGATGCACCTCTCAATGTCTTTTGAGGTATTTGAATTGATGAGCCAAACTTTCTTACAGTGTAGATTTTTGCTTTTGATTACTAGCCTAACTTTTAAAATGATGGCTTAAAAGATTATATAAAAATGTATGGAATAAAACTACTGGTAAATACATGTTAACAGTCTTTGGGTGGCAAGGTATGAGTGGTTTCTTCTTTGTCTTTCTTCTGGTCTATATTTTTTAAGTTTTCAATAATGAGCAACTTTTTTGATTGAGTATATTCTTCAGCTAATCAGAAAATATTTATTAACCACCTAACAAATGTAGAGCCAGCATATATATTTTCCTAGGTTGATAGTCACTCCCTCACTAAAGACAGGGACCATGTCCTTTTTTTGGAGATTTTATTTATTTATGCGAGAGAGAGTGTGCATGCACACGCAAGGGCGAGGGGGGGTGCGGAGACAGAGGGAGAGGGAGAAGCAGACTTCCTGCTGAGCAGGGAACTGATATGGGGCTTGATCCCTGGACCCTGAGATCATGACCTGAGCCAAAGGCAGATGCTCAACCGACTAAGCCACCCAGGCGCCCCAGGGGCCATGTCTTTTAAAATTTTGTAGGCTGAGATACCTACCATGTGCCTTATACATAGTGAGACCTGGGAAATAACTGTTGAATGAACACAGAAGCCTTTATTCCTAGCTTTGAAGGAAAGAATTATATTTTACTGATTGTAAGGCTTTGGGTTTAGGGGCCTTACAGTGGTCTTGGTATACTTTTCTGCTTATGTATTAGCACACATTCAGTGGGCAAGTTTTGTCCATTCTGTCTTAATTCTAGAACTACTAATTAGGGATAATAAAACCAACTGCAGTTCCCTAAAATAACAAAATTAGTAATAGAGTAGGATGGATGATATAAATCCAAAGCATTAAGCAGTAATATTAAAAATTTGGCCCTTACTAAAATCATTCTTAGACTGTTAGAAAGTCTACACAGATATTATACATAACAGGTGCCATAGCAATATTTGACAACTGACCAAATAAATGAAGTTTTATTGATTAAAGAATTTTAAATATCCTAAAAATCTACATGGGAAGAAATTATGAGTAAAGGGAAGCTAGATTAAAATCAGTGCCTTTTTAGGGGTGCCTGGGTGGCTCAAGTCTGTTAAGCATCTGCCTTCAGCTCAGGTCATGGTCCCGGAGTCCTGGGATTGAGCCCCATATTGGGTCCCTGCTCAGTGGGGAGCTTGCTTCTCCCTCTCCCTCTGCTGCTACCCCTGCCTGTACTCTCTCTCTCTGTCACATAAATAAGTAAAATATTTTAAAATAAATAAGTAAAAATAATAAAATCAGTGCCTTTCCAACCAAGACTCAAGAAAATTAATGATTTATTCAGTGACTTTCAACTCCTGATTTTCATAGGCTCAACAACTGTTATAAAGAACTTTTATATTTCTGATACAGTATTATATAATATAATTTTTCATTAACTTTTACTTAGTAATATCCATTTATAGCTTAGTTTAGTAAGTTGTCAATAAAAGTAATCTATAGACTTCTCCTTATGAAAGGTTGAATGTAGGCAAGCTTACCAACGTACTAGATTTGCTAAAAATCCAGACTTTTGAGAGGCAGTCATGTGCACACAAGATGGGTGGGAAGTAGAGAAAATGGGAGTAAATTCACTGAAAAGGAGACTAGAGAATAGAAATTGACAGATCTTTGAGTGGAAAAAAGGATTTCAGTGAAAGGTAGCAGTCTCAGCAGAATCATGACATGGAAAAGTTGGCTGAAAAGATGCTATCTAATCCAGTCGTATACAAACTGTAAAAAAAAAAAAAGTAGAACCCTTTATTCAAATGGAAACATATGCAAAATACCAATATATAAATATACAAAAGCTGAGCAGTTTGGGTTAAAACAGGGTGGGGACTAAAACCCATCCTCGTTGAACCTCCCTCTCTCTATCCCAGTGGACTCTGTGGAACACACTTTAATAACAACTCCTTGGGGCACCTGGGTGGCTCAGTCGTTAGGCATCTGCCTTGGGCTTGGGTCATGATCCCAGGGTCCTGGGATCGAGCCCTGCATTGGGCTCCCTGCTCAGTGGGGAGCCTGCTTCTCCCTCTCCCACTCCCCCTGCTTGTGTTCCCTCTCTCGCAATCTCTCTCTCTGTCAAATAAATAAATAAAATCTTAAAAAAAAAAATAAAAACCACTCATCTTGTCTATGCTTAGAACTCTCTCCGCCCTCGGACCCAGTGAAATGTCGCCTAACCAGTAGGCAGGTGGTAGACATTTATTTGTAATAAGAAAACATTTTCTTCAGGTTTACAAAGATGGAAAATTATTTTAAGGAATGTTTTTTCACCCATTACCAGAAAAGAGTGTTTTACCATTGAGACTACCAGTTGGAAGAACCACTCCATTTACTTGAGATTCTTCCCTTGGCCCTCTTGGGGACTGGCTTTGTGTTTTCTAGCTCTTGGATGTGGTCTCTCAACTAGCCAAGCAGAATGTGCAGCTGCTGGTCCTGGGCCGAAAGCACATGCTAACACAGCACTCGAGGTGGAGAAAGGATGAGATGAAAAAGGTGCAAAAGCAAGCCAGGTGCTTCTTTGCTGACAACATGTAAGTACTGAAGGTACTAGGTGAATTACACTCGGCCCAAGTCATCTGCTTGCTAGTTACCTATTTTCGCCATTTTTAAAGTGCATGCGTATGAATCCCAAAAAAAGATTTGAGGCAGCTGACAAAAATCTACTTCCTACAGCAGGGTAAATTTAAATAGATGAGGAAATCAGGGTAAAGGAGAAATAGGAGGAAGCTAAAGTCAGAAGTGAGATGAGTACCCAGAATGCATGCATAAGGTCCTACGTAGATCATTTAACAAATATTACATATATATGAGCACCTTCTGTGTTCTTGGGAAACCACAATTGTTCACCAAGTCCCTACCTTCTTGGGACTTAAAATAAACAGCTAAACAAATAAAAAGGTAATGTAAGCCCAGGCAGGGATCAATGCTAAACAATAAAGCAGAGTGAATAGGTGAAAAAGGATTAGGTAGGGGGTAGGTCAGAGGGTAGCGGGTGGGGTGGTCAGGAATAGCCGCTGGGAGAGGGCAGATACAAGGGGAAGGAGTCATTTGAGAAAATGTGAGGGTGGATGGAAGAACATCTCAAGCAGAGGGAACAGCAAATGTTCAAAAAGCTATGAAGCAGGAATGTGTTTGGCATGTTTGAAGAAAGCAAGCAAACCAGTGCTGATGAGCTGTGCAGCAAGAAGAAAAGTGCTGGGTTCTGAGGTCAGAGAGAAGGCAGGGACCACAGTAAAGAAGACCTTGTGGGCTCTGGTAGGCAAGTGAGGAACCTGGATTTTATTCAAACTGTAAAGGGAATGTTGCTATGAGCGACAACTTCTCAGGAAGCCAAAGGAACATGGAAAACAAGGTCAGTGACAAAATGGTACGGTGTCCATAAAGAAGAAAGCATCTACTCCAGAGGGGCACAGATCCTCAACAGTACACGTAAAGTTTTAAAATACACTTAGTTTTACATATGATTTATGCTGACAAAAGTTTATTTCCAACTTTGCATGGATAATGTGTGTACCCTCAGCCCCAGGTCTAGGTTTCGTTGTGTTGAATGTGATAGCTTCAGGATTTGTCAGTTTTCCCCAAATTATCTATTCCTAAAAAGGTAAAATGGCTCTCAATGCATGGAGCAGGAGGCCCTAACCCCTCATTCAGATCCCAAACCAATCCCTTTTTTCTTTAGCTAACTCCTTCTATGTATTCACGGGAAGGGTTACTTCTCTGTCTCTAAGAGTAGAAGACAACAATAACGCTCGGCACACACTCACTTTAGGCAACAGTGGGTAGACAAGAGGAGCACAGTCTTTCATTAGTCTACCCAGATTCAGAACGTGGGCCTGCCACCTCCTATCCAGGAAGGTGTTTCCCTTCTCTGTGTCGTCTTCATATGTAACCCCCAGCGGGGTATTGTGAAGATTAAATTAGAGAATACCTGTAAATAATACATATAAAACTGTGGCAGGGCACCAAGTACATGCAAAGCATGTATGTAGTGCTGTCATCATTACTATTCTTTTCCTTAGGTGGAGGAATTGGAGAAATGCGATGGTAAAACCAAAAAGCCTGATGGAAATTGCTCTCATGCTTGGTTTGGGACTTTAAAGTGACCTTCTGAGGCTTTGGATTTGAATGTTTAAGTTTTTAACATTAATTCTATGTTCCACTAATTTGCCAAAGAAATCTTTTCAAACATATACTGCAGAGAACAGTATAGTGAATCCCCATGTAACTGTCACCCAGCTCCAACGATTACCATCATTTTTCTCATCTTGTTCCATATAGCCCCCTACTTTTTTTTTCTTTTCCTCTCTCTTTTTCCTGAAGATTTTTAAGGCAGATGTATTCCAGTCATTTATCATTTCATTTGAAATAGTTTAGTATAAAATAAACATCAAATGGTCCCACTTTGGGTCATTTGGATAAGGCATAAGACCTATCCCATGCTGCGGTCTGAGTCTCCTGAGCCAAGGCGGCCCCTGCTGTTCTTACAGCATACCTCCTCCAGTGCTGAGTGTTGAAGCTGAGGGTCCATTGGAGACTCTGAGTCACTGGCTCTTCTCAAAGCAGGTGATGCCTTCTGTTGCAGATCTGGGTGACTTCCCAGAAGCTGCTTTGAGATACCAATTTTAGCTTTGAGGCAGCCCATTATTTTTGGTAGCTTGCAAGGAAGTGTCATCCTGTCCTATTAATATTATGAACATTTTTCGAGTTTGAGTGGGGGGAAGGGTGTGCTCTGTGGTGGATAGGCCAACAGGAACAACACCCGGGGCACACAGAGAACCAGCTTTTGAATGTGAAGAGGGAATTATTGTTAGAATTTTCCATTTTAGTGGAAGAACCCAACAGAGCCAAGTTGACCATTTGCATTCCCTTCCTCTTAGCTTTCCATTTGTATTCTAGATAGTGCTGTCTACTACCAAAAGACTTGGAGGTGGTTGGTTTATAAGTATCACCGGGATCATGTCACTTAAGAATGAAAGCACTGGGGCGTCAGGGTGGCTCAGTCGGTTAGGCATCTGCGTTCAGCTCAGATCATGATCCCAGGGTCCTGGGATCGACTCCTGCGTGGGGCGCCCTGCTCAGCGGGGAGTCTGCTTGTCCCTCTCCCTTTGCCCCTCCCCCAGCTTGTGTTCTCTCTCTCTCTGTTTCTCAATAAATAAGATCTTAAAAAAAAAAAAGAAAGAATGCAGAGCACCTCTGAGGAAAGTGGAATAAGAAGTAAAAAGCATGGTAAAGACTGCTATCTTCTGCCTCCTTGGGGCTGTGTGTGATTGTATTCTTTCTTCTGCCTGGCTCAGCTCAGAGGATGATCCGTTCCTTCTGTATGCCACACTGCACTCGGGGAACCACTGCAAATTTATCACAAAAGATCTGATGCGGGACCACAAGGCCTGTCTACGTGATGCCAAGACCCAGCGCCTCTTCTTTAAGTGGCAGCAGGGACATCAGCTAGCAATTGTTAATAGGGTTGCAGGATCAAAAATAACCTTTCAGGTATGTTATTTGTTCTCTACATAATGTCAACAGAGTGTGGCACAAAGAATTTTGCTACTAGCTGGAGGTTTTAAATGCTTTATTTTTCTCAGCTGTAGGTTGGTATTTGGAATTAACCAGTTCCTGGAAACAGAAAGTCGGCCAGGGCAAAAGTTTTCATAGTGAAAACATCTGAGATGTCATCAATTGTGACTTCAGTTATGTCACGGATTATAACTTGTTTTTTATTTTCATACATGTTTTTTATTTTCCTATTTATTTGCAATAGCTGAAAATTCCTTATCCTTTATGGTTCATAGTATTTCTGCTAAGCAACTCCTTTTTCCTGTTAATCCACTTCTGCAGCATGCTCTCCACTGAGTTCTCCTTTGACTCTAGTTTAGATTCCTGCAAATACAAGGAGTGTCTCTTGTGTGAAAGCAAAGGGAGAGAATCCAAAGGCAAGTTATTATGGAAAAATACACTAGTTAATGGTAAATATGGTCCAATGGTCAAAAAACATACAAAACAACAGATCTATACAAAAAATCAAGACTGTGGGAAACGATATAGGACAACTGGCTTGGTTTTCTCAACAACAAAAGATTACGAGAATAGAGATGAAAAGTAAAGCACTATTTAAAATTAAGAGATGGGTTAGCCTGGTGATGGGTATTAAAGAGGGCACGTACTGAATGGAGCACTGGGTGTTATAAGCAAACAATGAATCATGGAACACTACATCAAAAACTAATGATGTAATGTGTGGTTATTAACATAACATAATAAAATAAAATTAAAAAAATAAAATTAGAGATAATTCAGTCACGGTGTCATAACCTAATTTCAACTCCTGTTCAAAGAAATCAACTGTAAAATACATGTATGCACATGTAATAATTGGGGAAATGTGAATAGTGGATATCTGATGATAAGGAATTATTAACTCTTAAGTGTAATAATAGTATTGAACTTTTATTTATAAAATAGATCTTATCTTTTAAAGGTACATATTGAATATTACAGAAGAAGTGATATAATATCTGAGATTTGCTTCACAATAATCATGGGGAGTGGTGTGGATGAAATAAAATTAGCCATGTGTTGGTAATGGTTGAAGCTGGGTGGTACCTGGGAGTTCATTATACCATTTCTCTACTTTTGAATATATGAAATTTTTCTCTCACATACAAAGCTGATAAAGGCAAGTAAAGAGATTCTATCGCCTATAAACGTAATAATACAGAGAATCTTTAACCTTAAAAATGAACCCACCCCCCAAAAAGGGACCCCTAATTCTAGGGTTCATCTTCACAGAGCTACCTGCTCTCTGAAAATCCATTGTTAAGTAAGAGAGAATATTGAAGCAAACTGAGAAGTCGTCAGAAAAGAAAGGGAAATGGCCAGGCAACCCCTTAGTGTTGTTCTCAATGTTTGGTTCCCTTTTTAATTCAACAGCATATCCCATGTTATGACACAGTGGTGCAAACAACTGGAGACTCGTGGCACATACCATATGATGAAAACACAGTGGAAAGATACTCCTATGAAGTGCCAACCAAATGGCTTTGCCTTCAGCGAAAGACATGAAGACTCTCCCCCATGCTAAACTTGTGTTTGGGTGCCCTTCTGGTTGGCATCAGAGCACTTCAGTCGATGCTTGTTTAGCAGTGCTCCTGTGTGATCCACTCTTGTCTCTTTGGTCCGGTTGGTTTGCATGTCAACAGATTGACTTTTTTTAATGAAATAAAATATAAAATCTTTTCATAACCAGTTGCATTTGTTTTTGGAGACTTGGCCAGACTTGGGGAACTCAAGGCAGAGTGAAGCCTACGTTTCTCCTGGCGGGCCGGCTACTCCACTTACTTGGGCAACAAGCGCTTCTGATATCCATTTTGCTACTCCTGACCTCACCTTCCAGGTCCCCCAGTAGCAGAATCACTGCATCTAGGCTTAGGCTGCTCATGTTGTTTTTAAACCCCTTCTCCATTTCCAGGATCATCTCATCCTGTACAGATTATCTCCTGCTCACACTGAATCACTTAATGTCCTCTGTGATAAACTGGCCAAAATATCAGAAGCTTATTAGCAACTTTTACTTACCACCCAATGATTTGGGTTGGAAGAAAAGGAGCAGTTCGTTCTCTTTAGGCTGTGGTCATTTGTTCTTCATTCTACAATGCCTTTTTCAAGTTGGTTCAGTATTTTGTGAACACTATTAATTCCATCACTCAGTATATGAGAGCTTTTTAAAGGATACAGATTTTTTTTTCATTTAATCAAGTTTGACTTAGTTTAACAAGTCATAACTTTTCATATTTGCCTCTGTTTTACCTGCTTGCCAGCCAGCATACACCTCACTGGACCTTGATTTTAGCTGGAAATATCCATGTCCCAATACTTGATGTTCTTTACTTAGTCATACATACATACTGTATGGTTTAATATTCAAGAATAGGCCAGAGGCTCCTGGGTGGCTCAGTCGTTAAGCGGCTGACTTTGGCTCGGGTCATGATCCCAGGGTCCTGGGATCGAGCCCTGCATCAGGCTCCCTGTCCAGCTCCCCCTGCTTGTGTTCCCTCTCTCACTGTGTCTCTCTCTGTCAAATAAATAAATAAAATCTTTAAAAAAAAAAAAAAAGAATAGGCCAAATCAATCTATGGCAATAAAAATCACAATAGTAGTTGCCTGAGGCAAGGGCACAAGAGAACTTTCTGGAGGGTGATAGAAAGTTCTATATATTGATCTGGATGATGCTAACTTAGGTGTATGTGTATATTAGTCAAAATTTATCACACTAAATACTCGAAACTGATGTATTTACAACAACATATCAAAAAATATTAACATTAAAAAGATAATCATCTAGGGGTGCCCGGGTGGCTCAGTGAGTCAAGCTTCCGGCTCTTGGTTTTGGCTCAGGTCATGATATCATGATCATGGGTCTCATGATGCATGGGTCATGGGATTGAGCCCTGTGTCTGGCTCCTCACTCAGCAGGGAGTCTGCTTGAAGATTCTGCCCCCACCCCACTCACTTGCACATATGCTCTCTAGAGCTCTCAGAAATAGATAAATCTTTTTAAAAAAAATTATTTACATGAAATAAACAAGTAAATTACCTCATTTACATAAGACCATCTACACAAATATGAGTAGGATGTGTAGTATGCAGAGAGAAACTATCCAGGAAAAACACAGGAGGGGATGTTTCATCTCCTTATCCATTTACTGAATCCTACACTGCTGCATGCCTAGACAAAATAGCTCTCCAGGAAGGGGTTTAATAAATTGATAATACTGAAGATGCTGAGGCTCAGAAAGTTCTCATAAATCCAATCTGCTTATTTTCTAAATTTCATAAACCACATACTTAGAAAACTGTGCTTTCAGTGAATTAAACTTTTTCTAGAGGAACTACCCTAGTTTTCAGAAAATTTTTAAAAAGAAAAAAGCATTTGTTAAATAAGCTTATCTAAAAACCTAATGCAAATACCTCACAAGGAGCATGTGGAAATTGGGGGAGGATACAAAAGGAATCCTAGAACTTCAAAGTAAGAGTGAACCTTGAAGAACATAAAGTCCAACAGTAGCATTTTATAAAGGAGGGACAGACCCAGAAAGATGTAAAGGCTTTTGTGGATCCCACAGCTAATTAGGGAAGACATTTCAACTGTAACCCACCTCTGATTCCCAGCCAAATATTCTTTCTTCTGTACACTGATTTAGGCTAGAGTAGTTCATAAAAATTCAGACTGAATGGTAGAGCATCCAGTATTTAGATTTAGGAACTTTGTTAGCCACGTAAAAGAAAGGGAGTAGAATGAGAACAAAGAAACAAGGGAGTACCTCTCTAAAGGGCCCACATTTGCAAAATGGCTTATCAGTGTAGAAAATTGGGTAGGGAAATTACCTTATTTTTGAACTCTTTAATACTATTCAAAAATAAAACCCGGGGGGGGGCGCCTGGGTGGCACAGTTGTTTAAGCCTCTGACTTGGTTTCAGCTCAGGTCATGATCCTGAGATCCTGAGATGAAGCCCTGCGTAGGGCTCCACGCTCAGCGAGGGGTCTGCTTGAGATTCTCTCTCCCTCTTCCCCTGCCCCTCTCACTTGCGCTCTCTCTCAAATACATAAATCTTAAATCAATCAAACAAACCAACCCTTGGGCTCCTGGCTGGCTCAGTCGGAAGAAGATGTGACAATTGATCTCAGGGTGGTAAATTCAAGCCCCACATTAGGTGTAGAGATAACTAAAGAATAAAAATTTTTTAAAAAATCCTAATTTCTGCTTGACAGGAATTGAGGTACATCTGTTCTTTGTCCAGGAGTAGGGGGATTCTAGGACTGTTTAGGGTAAATCACACTGACACAGGACCCTCACAAATGCAGAGATCTGAAGGAAGGAAGGCAGCTGGTACCAAACACTTAGGTTGCCTTTTGTGTTCTGATAACCTGAGTGGAAAAGAAATAGCTACCTGTCAAGCAAGGTACGAGACAACAGGAAGAGGAATTCTTTTAAAAGCTGTGCTCTGAAGAAAACAAAAAAAAGAAAGTTGTGCTCTGGATTGACAGTATCTTTTAAGTCAGCTAGAAACAAAGGAAGGCTTTGAGAGGGCATTGACTCTTGCCACTGAAAAATACTTCTGAAGTGCTTTGTGCTTCCCTCTGACATGCTCCTGGATTTATACTCTCTTTTCCTTACTGCTGTTCTCTAGACCCCAGAACGAGAAGATCTCAAAGGGGAAGGCTGAGTTAACGATTCTCTCAGGACATTGGCACTACCTCACCTCTGGTGCCTTGTTCTTCATGTTAAATTAATTTTTGTCTTCAGGTTTGCACTTCAATGGAATGACTTGCTCTTTGGTCCTTTAACAGGTTTGTCACTTTTTAAAAAAATTGTCCTAATGCACCATAAAATGCATCATGTATGTTCACGTTAGATTTCTTTTTTTCCCCTAATAGTTTCATTGTAAAGCAGGAATGGAAAGGAAGAGTGTGTTATATGGGCACCTGAATTCTGGTCCATCATGGTGAGTCTTACATTCATTGGCTAAAAATTATTATTACCAGAGTAATTGAGGGCAAAACTAAATGGAGTTCAGATCTGGTATTTCAGCTGTCCTTCGGTAATTTGGAATTCCTAGAGTGAAAGACATCTAAGGGTGCCCCTGTGGGAATGAGGAAAGTACAGCAGTGTGATGAAATGGTGATGTTTAGATTTAGGTATTCTTCTAGGCTAGGACTTGAGCAGATAGAGCTCTCAGTAAGAGGGACAGGCAGCTGTTAGAACCACCTGTAGTCCACAGGGTGAGAGAAGGGTTCCCAGGTAAAGTACAGGACTATGAGTTAAATTTGAATTTCAGATAAATAACATTCTTTTAGTGTAAATATGTCTCAAGTATTGCATGGACAGACTTATACTAAAAATATTGTCTATCTGAAATTCACATTTAACAGGGCACCCTGTATTTTTATTTGCTACATCTGACAACCCTCGGTGAGACTTAAGTGAGAGGGTGAGCGGTAGTGGGGAATGAAGCATCGAAATGGCCCAGCAGTCCTACAGGAGGGGAACAAAGAGGTGAGTAAAAGGCACCTGGGTGGGAAAGGAAAGGCAAGAAGACCAGCTTTTCCCTGCTTTGTCCCAGCCAGCGATAAATAGTCTGCTTGAATGTATACTCTATAAGCAAAGAGACTTCCATTTAGAGATTTAGAGAAAGCCATAGAAAACAGTGAGATGAAAAAACATAAGAGAATACCAATGAGTAAATGCAATAAATCTTGAGAAATAATCTTTAATTTCTCTTATCATGTCTATTTCATGGTGTTTCAAAATTCCCTCAAGCTCTTTCTCCCGAGGTTTGTTCTTTGTTGGCAATATTCGATCTGATGGGTGCTTCCAGAGACCCCACATACACCACTTGCGTTCAACTGGGAATTGAAATAAACAGGAAGACAATTATCTACTCACTGATGGCAGCTAAAAATAGTTTGTGTTGCTACTAGAGTACTCTCAGGACATTCTTATCAAATGGATTAAGTTATTAAGGTAACCATAATTTGTTGTGAATTGTAGTGTCATATGAAGGGTTTTTGGAAGGTTCTGAAAGAAATGTGACATAAATTTCAACCACATTAAAATAATTACCCCTGGAGCGCCTAGGTGGCTCCATGGGTTAAGCGTCTGCCTTCGGCTCAGGTCATGATCCCAGGATCCTGGGATCGAGCCCCGCATCAGGCTCCCTGCTCAGCAGGAAGCCTGCTTCTCCCTCTCCCACTCCACGTGCTTGTGTTTCCTCTCTTGGCTGTGTATCTGTCAAATAAATGAATAAAATCTTTTAAAAAAATAAAAATAATTACCCCTGTCTTCTCTTTGGTGTTAGTTAAAATCCAGCCCCAAAAAGCAAATACTTGAGAAATCACTGCTAGGGACTTTGATTTCTAATATGGTAGAGACATAAATTCATTTTTGAAGAAACCAGGTCAGATTGCCCTGTCACTCTCAGCTGGACTAGAACATTACTTGCTATCAAGTTGAGTTCACGTCAAAATACTTAAAATCGATTCTTTTTTTTTTTTAAGATTTCATTTATTTTTTAACAGAGAGAGAGAGAGAGACAGTGAGAGAGGGAACACAAGCAGGGAGAGTGGGAGAGGGAGAAGCAGGCTTCCCGCTGAGCAGGGAGCCTGATGTGGGACTCGATCCCAGGACCCCGGGATCATGACCTGAGCCAAAGGCAGATGCTTAACGACTGAGCCACCGAGGTGCCCTTAAAATCGATTCTTAAAACAGATTTCTTTTGCTTTCTATGACTACATTAGAACAGAGAATGTCAGTGTCCTAACAGGTGCCAATGGAATTCCCTGACAATTCTGCTGTTCATTTGGCTGTCTCAGGCACAGCG